GACAGAACCTCTATAACCATTTCTAAACTCCTGTTTCTTAAATCATCCTCTGCTTCGGCAACGTGTCATCACGTCACAGCCAAAGATTCTTTCCAGAATCAAGCGCTTTACAAAAACCAAATCTTAGTTAAGGGTCTCAGTATGGCATGGCATAGAATAAAATGATCTTTAACGCAAGCAATGAAGAGAATGATATATAAACTTTTATTTTCCGCTTGGCAAACCCGACTAGCTTCAGAAGACCTGGGCAGATGGAATAGTGATGAATTCAGTATAGCTTTTCTATTATTACATATCAAAAACATAAATTAATTCTGTCAATTTAAACAGAAAAATCAGTCTTCAGTTCAAGTATTTCATCACTGCGCAAAGAAAGAAAGGTGCCTGTCCTACACTGGAGAATGATAAATATTTGGATTTCATCTTGGATTTAATTTACCTTTTTTTTTTTTTAACACCGTTTTTAAGCTCTTTCAGAAGAAAGGCCTTGCCTGGCTAGTAGTAGTCAGAAAGTCCTTCTCATAGCTCTGAGTATCCCTTCAGTGTCTATATATCCAATCACTTATGAACCTCAAATTAGCACTATTTAACTAACACGATGTTCTGCGGATAAAAGCAAGATTCACCCTTCAGCATTTTCTCTGCTCACAAGAGGACTTCTGGTGGAAGGATGATTCTTCTCCAGTTTTGCTGCATGGAACTCGTTGCTTTTCTCTCTCATTCGTTGACAGTGGAGAGGAAAGTAGATCTCATGCACCAGAATTCATCTTCCAATTGAGGGATGTTAACATTATCCAAAGTGCATACCTCTTGACCCCTCATTTTTCCACTTCACTATATGACTGCTCTTCAGAGCACTACTCTAGTGCGCTTCAAAAATCAGTAAAAACACAGAAGAGGGACAACTAAAAGTACAAGTGCTTTTTAAGTGCTTTTTTCCACCAGGGCCAGAGCGCTTAACAATTCACACAAGCAAATGTGTTACGTCCATCTTCCTTTTATTTCCGTGTCCTCGGCAGGAGAGGAAAGTCAAACTAAATAGCAGCACCGAAAAGGAGATGAGATTTTATCCAGCTCCCAACCTTTTAAGAGGTGCAATCACAGGCTGGCCGCTATCGACTCTCTTTGAAAGAACAAGACTAGGAGCGGATTTCAGGAGCCATCCTCCCTTGCTGGCAGGCACTCAGTTTTTCATTTGTTCACACACACCCATAGGGGCTTCTAGTTATGAGGCTATTTTGCTCCCATTTCCCTTGGAAGATTATCCCAGTGCCTTGCTCTTGTGATCCCCAGTAACCTTCAGACCCTTAAGGCTGGCATAGATGCTTGAGCAAGTTTATTACTGTCCCTAACTCACAGAACCTATAGCATAACCTCAATGGAAACGTGGCAGGAGCTGGGAGCCAAGATGAACTCCCCCTGGAGCACAGCAAGAGCACCTAGAGGGCGAAAGGTACACTAAGATCACAGAGAAGGGTAGCACTCAGCATCTTGCTTCTCCTGATTCTTCCACTCTTATGAAAGCATGAAAGATTCTTCTACTCTCTGCCTCTGGGCAGAGAGGAACCTCATGAGGTTCAACAAGGACAAGTGCGGGTCCTGCACCCGGGCAGGAATAACCCCCGGCACCAGTACAGATTAGGGGTCGACCTGCTGGAGAGCAGCTCCACGGAGAGGGACCTGGGAGTCCTGGTTGACACTAAGTTAACCATGAGTGAGCAGTGTGCCCTCGTGGCCAAGAAGGCCAATGGGATCCTGGCTGCATCAGGAGGATGTTGCCAGCAGGTCAAGGGAGGGGATCCTGCCCCTCTCCTCAGCTCTGGTGAGGCCGCACCTGGAGTATTGGGGGCAGTTCTGGGGTCCCCAGTATTGGAGGGACGTGGAGCTTCTTGAGAGGGTCCAGAGAAGAACAACCAAGATGATTAAGGGAATGGAACATCTCTCGTATGAGGGGAGAGTGAGTGAACTGGGCCTGTTTTCTCCGGAGAAGGCTGAAAGGGGATATGATTAATATGTATAAGTTCAGGAAGGGAGAATGCAGGGAGGAAGGGGCCAGGCTGTTTTCACTGGTGGCCAGCGACAGGACGAGGGGTAATGGCCATAAGCTGGAGCACAAGAAGTTCCGTCTCCATGCGAGGAGGAACTTCTTTCCTGTGAGGGTAACAGAGCCCTGGCACAGGCTGCCCTGGGAGGTTGTGGAGTCTCCTTCTCTGGAGGTCTTCAAAACCCACCTGGATGCCACCCTGTGCCACATGCTGTAGGTGTGCCTGCTGGAGCAGGAAGGTTGGACTAGATAATCTCTAGAGGTCCCTTCCAACCTTGAATATTTTGTGATTCTGTGAAATAAATAACCCCTTCAAAGCAGACTCTGCTGCAGGAAAGCCAGAACAAGAAGATTCATCCACAACATGCTATATATCACAGAGAATCAGAGAATCACAGAATGGTCAAGGTTGGAAGGGATCTGCAGAGATCATCTAGTCCAACCCCCTGCTCCAGCAGGGACACCCAGAGCACGGGGCACAGGGCAGCATCCAGGTGGGTTTGGAAGATCTCCAGAGAAGGAGACTCCGCAACCCCCCTGGGCAGCCTGTGCCAGGGCTCTGGCACCCTCACAGGAAAGAAGTTCCTCCTCACCTGGAGATGGAGCTGCCTGTGTTGCAGCTTGCGCCCATTGCCCCTTGTCCTGTCAGTGGCCACTACTGAGAAGAGCTTGGCCCCTTCCTCCCTGCATTCCCCCTTCATGTACTTATACATGTTAATCAGATCCCCTCTCAGCCTTCTCTTCTCCAGAGAAATCAGGCCCAGCTCACTCAGTCTCTCCTTGTACAAGAGATGCTCCAGTCCCTTAATCATCTTGGTTGCTCTCCGCTGGACCCTCTTACACCAGGGAGCCCAGAACTGCCCCCAATACTCCACGTGCGGCCTCACCAGAGCTGCGGAGAGGGGTAGGATCCCCTCCCTTGGCCTGCTGGACACGCTCCTCCTGATGCAGCCAGGATCCCATTGGCCTTCTTGGCCACAAGAAGGCCCCTGCATTGTTCGGTGAGGAGCACGGCAGCCTCTGCAGCAGTGCGGCCACGTGCCAGGGCCCAAAGCAGCCGTTTGTACCCGGGGCGGCTCCGGGGAGCGGAGGACGCCACGGGGAAGCTCCCGCAGAGCCGCACACAGACACGCGGATACCACTCATCTACACGTCCCGTGCCGGGTTTCCCACCCGCGGCAGCGCCGTTCACACACCCGCTCTTACGTGTGCGCGTGCCGGGGCGGCGCCGGCTCCTCCTCCCGCGGCCGCGCACTCCTCGCGGGCCATGGAGGCGGCGCGGCCGCGGGCGCGGTGCTGGGCGCTGCTGCTGCTGCTGCCGCTGCTGGCGGCGGAGGAGGCGCGGCGGGCGCGGGGCGAGCAGCAGTGCCACTTCTACGCGGGCGGCCACGTCTACCCGGGCGAGGCGGCGCGCCTGCCCGGCTCCG